CCGACCGGCCGTCTAGCTGGCTGGCCGACCGGCCGTCTAGCTGGCTGGCCGACCGGCCGTCTAGCTGGCTGGCCGACCGGCCGTCTAGCTGGCTGGCCGACCGGCCGTCTAGCTGGCTGGCCGACCAGCCGTCTAGCTGGCTGGCCGACCGGCCGTCTAGCTGGCTGGCCAACCGGCCGTCTAGCTGGCTGGCCAACCGGCCGTCTAGCTGGCTGGCCAACCGGCCGTCTAGCTGGCTGGCCAACCGGCCGTCTAGCTGGCTGGCCAACCGGCCGTCTAGCTGGCTGGCCGACCGGCCGTCTAGCTGGCTGGCTGACCGGCCGTCTAGCTGGCTGGCCGACCGGCCGTCTAGCTGGCTGGCCGACCGGCCGTCTAGCTGGCTGGCCGACCAGCCGTCTAGCTGGCTGGCCAACCGGCCGTCTAGCTGGCTGGCCAACCGGCCGTCTAGCTGGCTGGCCAACCGGCCGTCTAGCTGGCTGGCCGACGGGCCTGCTGACCGTTGATTGTGAACATCGCTACATCTGGTAGGATGGGGAGGTGTGTAGTTAACAGGCCGGTTAGTAGTTACCTATTCGTTGTAATGATCCGTGAGCATTAATAGTGTAAATTTGTGGGTTTTAATTATTTATCTTGGGGGATCGATCATATATGACGAAAAAGGCACATAACCCGATCAAACTTGATGAAAAAGCATCAAGTTTATGAAAAAGCATTTAGCATAACATTATTTAGTTTCATTTTGGCTTATACTTTATATAAAGTCTATATATCCAAATAATCATTGTAATGTCACATTTGAAAATCTAATATAAAGCTTACATTGCACATTCATATTAAATATAAAATGAGAAGTAGATGTTTATAACCGGGCGCTCGGACGCTCAACAAATATTATGCAGTTTCCCATTAATGAACTTCATTATTTTCTTGAATTCACTACTTGATCAATGGGAGCAGACATAACTACATCTTGACAAATATCACTGTTTTAAAAAGCAACATAAAGCACACACATTCCCACACATTCTCTGTGACATTCACCAGAGCAGATTTTTCAGTTGACAAAAAGGGGGACCTGCATTGACGCGCCGTCTCGCCTATTGAAAGACCTTCATACTTCAGATCGTCATTATGGCACAGGTTTGAAAGATCGTAGTTTCACTTATATATATATAAATATATATATATATATATATATATATATATATATTATAGTATATATATATATATATATATATATATATATATATATATATATATATATATATATATATATATAGTATATATATATATATATATATATATATATATATATATATATATATATATATATATATATATATATATATATATATATATATAATTTTACTATAAGAGAAAATGTCTGTTGATGTTAGAGGCGACATGCCTGGAACTGTTGATGTTAGAGGCGACATGCCTGGAACTTGCCTTACCAAAGTTTGTAGCAGAAATGGTCTGGTGTACGGGACTAACATAGGCTGGTCGAGATAGGTCTAAGTTAAATGTTTTAAGAAATATTATAATTACTCCCTTTCCTCCTCCGATTATCATGGTTTCAATTGTAGCCAAATGTGAAATATTGATCGAGATGCCCGAAGACTCTTTCGTCATCAGAATAAATTATTTCCTTGAACATAAAGTAGTTTCATTGCTCCCTAATATTATATTTTATGCAAGGAAAGAGTTGTTCAATGTATAATTGAGGACCTCTATTATAATTATACCCCTATAATTGAGGGGTACTTCAATTATAACAGGACGTAGAGATGGTAATGGGGGAGGGAGGATGAGGGGAGGGCAGGAGGAGGGAGGCTGAGGGGAGGGCAGGAGGAGGGAGGCTGAGGGGAGGGCAGGAGGAGGGCCGGGGGAGTCGGGAACATTTTAAAAGCACTATACACTCACCTTCTGTGGTTGATTGTTCAATACATCACTGAACTATATGTTCAACAGATCCCTAGCCCTGTCCATGGAGGACTGTAGACAATGTATATATGCTAAAAATAGAGCAGGCGGCTGAGCGGACAGAACACTGGACGCGTGATCCTGTGGTCCCGGGTTCGATCCCGGGCGCCGGCGAGAAACAATGGACAGAGTTTCTTTCACCCTGTTACCTAGCAGTAAATAGGTACCTGGAAGTTAGTCAGCTGTCACGGGCTGCTTCCTGGGTGTGGAGTCCTGGTCGAGGACCGGGCCACGGGGACACTAAAAAGCCCCGAAATCATCTCAAGATAACCTATTAATTCCTTTGAGAATCTTGTATGTGGTGATCATGTCCCACCCTAACTCTTCTCTCTCTTCCAGCGACGTGAGGTTTAATTACCGTAATCTCTCCTCATAGCTCATACCCTCAGTTCGGGGACTAGTCTAATGGCAAACCTTTGAACCTTCTCCAGTTTAGTCTTATGCTGACGAGATACGGACTCCATGCTGGGGCTGCATACTTCAGGATTGGTCTGACATATGTGGTAGATTCAGAATGATTCCTTACACAAGTTTCTAAAGGCCGTTCTTATGTTGGCCAACCTGGCATATGTCGCTGATGTTATCCTCTTAATAGGGGCTTCAGGGGACAGGTCTGGCGTGATATCAACCCCCCAGGTCTTTCTCTCTCTCTCTCCCTGGTTCTTGAAGGATTTCATCTTCCCAATGGTACCTTGTATCAGGCCTTCTGTTCCCTATATCTATTTTCATTATATTACATTTATTCGGGTTAAACCCAAAGCACCATTTGTTGGATCATTCCTTTAGTTTGTCCAGATCTTCTTGAAGCCTCAAGCTGTCCTGTCTTTATCCTTCTCATAATTTTGGCGTCGTCAGCAAGCATTGAAAGGAATGAGTCTATACACTCTGAAAGATCATTTACGTATATCAGAAACAGGATAGGTCCGAGTACAGAGCCCAGTGGGACCCCACTGGTGACTTCACGCCAATCTGAGGTCTCACCCCTCACTGTAACTCTCTGCATCCTATTGCTTAGGCACTTCCTTATCTACTTGAGCCTCCTACCCTAATATCGGCACCTTAATCACCAACATGCGATTTTCATGGAGTATGAAATAAAATCTTTGTTTTCCTCAGAGTTTAGATGTTTACTCCCGGTTTATACATTCGGGTTACAGACATGTATTTTCTGAGATAAAGAGAGGAAAGGAGACGGAGGAGGTAGAAGAGGGTGAGGGGGAGGAAAAGAGGTGAAGAGAAGAGGGAGAAATGAGGGAAGGGAGATTTGGGGAGAGGGGAATGCTAAGGAGAAAGGTGGAGAGTGGGAAAGAGTTAAGGGGAAATGCTGGGGGAGGGGGAAGGGGGACAAGGGAAGAGATATGAGAGAAGGGGAGAGAGACTCGGGCACAGCTGGATACCCCATCTATTTTCTTTATCTATAAAACAGGATGATTGTATTTGTTTGCATTGAGCCTCAAACAATTTTCTATGATGAACTGTGATTGTATGGGAGTGTATAGGAAGATTGTGGATGACCCTTCATACCCCTCAATAAGTATGATTGACTCTAATTACAACCAACAACTCCAGTGAAGTTCGAAACGGAGGTTTCGTTTTCCATAGAGTTTTTCCATTGAGTTTTCTTCAACATACTTTCACATACTTTCTGTATGACTAACCATCCTGCGAGATGGGGACTTGTATTACCACTGCTACCTTATTCAATCTTGTGTTGTTGATATCCTCAAAATGCATCCGGAGTCTGCCAGTGCAGACCGCCTATCACATGTCTCTGTATGACTAACCATCCTGTGTGATGGGGATTTTATAGCATCACCTAGTTAGCTTTTTTTTGACACACTGTACTCCACTTCATATAGTCTAGGGTAGCTGCACTAATGCAGATGTACCTCATAACTTAATAAAAAAAAAAAAAAAAAAAAAAAAACATACTTTCAGCTGTAGCCAGGTCCGATGAAGTCAGCATCTCAGCCCTACTCCAAGGTCAAGTGGGTGGCATCACATTCAGTAAAGCAGACTCTCCTCAGAGGTCCAGGAGGTACAGAGAGTACCTTGTCACATCCTACCCTCATGACCTTGACATCTCCCATGCGAAAGACCTACCAGGTGTGTACAGTGCAAGACGCATCAAGTCTGAAGGCAAGCCACTAAACAGGATTGTCATCGTCTGGGAACATGAGACACCGCCCCCCAATCATCACACGTTCCTAGGCCCCTACCGGCCAGCCTGCCCCATAACACCCTGGGCGTCCTCAGCTGTCATGTGTTTTAACTGTCAACACTTTGGTCACGTAGCCAAGCACTGTCAATCTTCAGGCACCTGTGCCTTCTGTGCAGCCAATCATCTCACTAAAGACTGCCCCAATAAAGACCACGCCCCTGGGACCGATGAGACCTCATCCTCAGCCACCAAGCACAAGTGTTCCAGGTGCTTGCGGGAGGGTGTGATCGCCTGGCACAAGGACTGTGTCAGGCGGCCTCCCCCGCACAGCACAGTGGGGCAACCCTCCACCACCCCAGTCAACCCCCCCCCCACCCGGGATGACCCCGCCACCGTTCCTGACAACCTTCCCTCGCCTACCTGGGAAGCCTGACGCCAGCCTGCAGAGGGAGGTGTTAGAACTTCCAGCGCGCATGAGTAAAATAGAAATTACCGTCAATAAGCTCCAAGAAACACTCACGAAGATTGAAAATGGTCTCAACAGCATTTATGCTAAGATCAACATGGACGACCTGAGACAGTGTTCAAGCGATCATCTCGCCAGCCCGAGGATTGAAGTGAACGTCCAAGTCTCTATGGAAATGCCTTCCAGTGATGTAAGTGTTGACACGTCTCAAGCAAGTAATGACCCCCCTTCAGTGCTGTAAGTGTTGACAGGTCTCAAGCAAGTATTGACGCCTCCTCCAGTGCTGTAAGTACCGCTGTGGCGAGTGAAACATATGAAAACCCGAGTGTCTTAACTGTATTTAGAAAATGCGCTCAAGAACTCATTCCGAACAATACCGCTTGTGTCCCTATGAATTCTGATGAACAAGAAATTGTAGAAGCTAGGAAAGGTACAGGCAACCAGCTGACCTTGAAACAGATGAGAGAACTCTTTGCCATTGATGACTGTGAACAATTGTCACTTGTAAGCAATAGTCTACAACTTGTGAACCTTGTGAACACTTCTCTTCGTCAGGTTTATGAACACCATTACCCACGACCAACTCACTCTTAAGTTTCTCACGTGGAATGTGAGAAGCGTGTGAAGGAGGCTGTTTGATCTAATGATGTACGCTGGTGCCAACAACATTGATGTACTGTGCCTGCAGGAACCATACACTGCAAACACAAAAAATAATACGCCACCCAAACTCTCAGGTTATGTAGCTTTCTCAAATGTTGGTTCACATGATGTCGGTATCTTGACGTATGTTAAAAGTCCCCTAGTGTGTAAACATGTTAAAAACCACAAAAGTGACGACTCATATTATCAGCAGTTTCAGATTGCTACAGCGACCGGGTTTATTAACTTAGTTAATGTATATGTAAGGTGCGATCAAATGGTGGAAGCTTCTCTTCCAAAAATCACCAGCAGCTCTCAAACCATTGTAATGGGTGATTTTAATGCTAGACACACTAGCCTGGGTGACACCAAAACAAACAGGAATGGCAGAGTCTTTGTAAAATACTTAAGAGATAATAACATGTCCGTATTCAACTTTGACTCCTCTAACGTCACACACCTCATGGGTGGCAGGCTTGATTATGTCATTGGTCACGGTCTCATTGATAATGCTGTCGGAGGATCAATTGTTCATGAATTAGTTAGTGATCACTTTGCCATATTCAGTTCATACACTATCAATAATGTCAAACCCCTAAGCTTTGAAAAAAAATAATTAATATCCCCTGAAAATTTACACATGCACTTCAAAATCCGCATTTCTGAATGGTATAACACTTACTGCTTTACTACCGTCAATGCATTATATGAGGACCTGGTCACTGAAGTAACCGCTTTTTATGACAATGTTGTAAAATCCACAAGACCCAAAACAGTGAGGAAGGGACAGAGGTGGTTCACTGACTCACGCCTTAAGCCCCTGCATGACAGAGTTCTATTCCCAGCTGAGCAGTATAAAACACATAAAACAGCTGACACCCTCAACATATTTCTTAAAGCCAGCCGAGAGTTTAGAGAGCTAAAGGAACAGGTGTATAACCAGCACTGGGAACAGTTTCTGCAAGGCATCAATCATGCAACATCCTCATCCCAAATGTAGAATAAAATTAAAAAGATTTCTCTCCTAGCAGTCGTCAACTTGATCACCATTCACCTGTAGACTATGCCGACATGCTGCTTCAGCAATATGCAAGCACTGCTAGTATAAGCAGCCTGCCCCTAGATGTACAATACCATCTGGCTAGTACCAAAATTTATCGTAACTTCAATATTGAAATTGCGTGTAGTGAAATAGGGCCTGATGATAACTATGGCATAACCCCCTTTCATATTAAAAATGCACTCAAGAAAGGTAAGGCTACCTCTCCTGGAGAGGATGGCATCACATACAACACCATGAGAGTACTTGCTGAGCTGCCAAATAGCCCTTTGCTAGAATTGTTTAATCAAAGTCTAAGGCAGGGTGTTTTACCTGACCGCTGGACACAGGGACTCATAATACCCATACCCAAGCCTAATTCACAAAAATTTAGACCCATTTCTCTGACGTCGTGCATGTGCAAAGTTCTTGAGAGAATTATTCTCGACAGACTAATGTTTCAAATCAAGCCCCACCTTGCCCCTAACCTGTATGGTTTCCTTCCTGGAAGAAGCACACAAACTTGCTTTGCTGAGTATTTTATCAGAGGGGGACCAAACTCTCAGGCGGCATTTATTGATCTCCAAACTGCTTTTGATACAGCAAACAGAGAAATATTCTTAGAACAACTAGCCTCTTTTGGAGTTAAGGGAAGACTGTTGACATGGCTCAGGGGTTACCTGAGTAACAGAACCGCCTCAGTCCTTTTCAAGGGGGTCAAAAGTAAATATTGTGCACCCTTTGAGTTGGGTACACCCCAGGGTGGAGTGCTAAGTCCTACACTGTTCAATGTTCTGATGCACAAATTAACAATTGATATTCCCACACTACCTGACGAAGCCGTCATTTGTTATACCGATGACATATGCATTGTTGCAAATTCCCAAACTAGACTTCAAGCTCTACTTGATTCACTCGCTGCTAAAAACATTGAATGTGGTCTTGTTATCTCTATAACTAAATCCAGAGTTCTCCATCCCCAAGAGAAAACATGTCCCTATAACTTTCAAGGTCAACAGCCAGAACATTGAAACGTGTGGGCAGCACAAATACCTTGGAGTTGGTATTAACAGTGACATTGTAAATGATCTACACCGTAGGTTAAAAGAAAGACTAAAACCATTGAGAACACTTACTGGTAAGAATATTGGTATCAATATTAAATATGCTAGACTATTCTAAATGATGTTTGTTAGATCTCTCGTTGATTATAATGCTCTGCACTTAATTAATTTCCCCTCCTCTGTGTTGGACAAACTTGAAGTAGTACAGAATGAAGCCATGAGGATAATTCTTGGTGCTCCAAGATGCACAAGAATCATCAACATGAGGGAAGAACTGAAGCTTCCAACCATACTAGAGAGAATAATGCAAGTTAACACTACCTTTTGCCTTAAAGTCATGAGAGACCCTACATCTCCTGCATTGCTCAGACACAAATTATTTAGTGCTGTTAACACCCTATTGACTGGTGCCGACATACCAACTCACTCCTTTTATGATAATTGGCGTTGACGATAAATGTTATAAAGGTATAACAATGCCTACAATCTCATTAAACTTAACATTCCTTTTAAGTGCAATCTACCAGTCTCTGATATTCCTCTTTATCTGTACCCCACCATTCAAGTATCATACACACCTGTCACCAAGAAAGATAATGAGAATCTTGCTCTTCTCAAAGCTGTCACACTTGAAACAACTGCCTCCTCCATCGAGAATTTAAGATCTCACGAGCACTGTGTCTACACCGACGGCTCAGTCCAATCCTCTACTGGACGGACTGCAGCAGCATGTAGGTTTTATAGAAATAATATTTGCACAAAGACTGTCAGTGTCAGGTTAAACAACTGGCTGACCTCCACACAAGCAGAACTAGAAGCATTACAACTAGCTACCAGTACATTAAAAAAAATTGGAGGAGGAATAATATTTTGTGATTCAAAGACTGCTCTTCAAGCAATCGAAAAATTCTCTTGGAAGATCGACAGCAAGAACCTCATACTCTCAATTATAAATTACCTAATTGCTGCACAGAGTAAAGGGTTTCGAATCTCCTTTGTATGGATACCTTCACACATAAATATAACCCATCATAATGAGACAGACATTGCAGCCAAATTAGCGTGTAACAAGGATGAAGTTGAATTAGATCTAGGTATCCCATCTCTGCTGTCAAAACTGTATTGGTCCAAACACTCAGGTTTGATAGGAAAGAACTTACTGACTCCCAACGACCTGAAAGTACTAGTATAAAAAGCTATGATTTGTTCAGATATGAAACCTATATCTATGGGCAGCACAAAACGTCCACTAGACTGTGTGACACAGTAGTTGCAAGGATCAGGTTGGGTTACCGTTACCTGTGGCAGGTGGCTACAGGTGACGGATCTCCCAATCCTGAGCACTCCAGCTGCAAACTCTGTGAACAGGAACTGCGGCATGATCTCCCGCACTACATCACTGAATGCCTAGTTATTAGACCTTTCAGACCAGTTGGCATGAGGTACCTGGAGCTTTGCAATTACTTTATTCACTCTCGTATTCTTGAAGATATCCTCACAGTGTACCCAAAATTTGGCAGTGCAGGCTACTAAACACATGGCTCTGTATGACTAACCATCCTGCGAGATGGGGACTTGTATTACCACTGCTACCTTATTCAATCTTGTGTTGTTGATATCCTCAAAATGCATCCGGAGTCTGCCAGTGCAGACCGCTTATCACATGCCTCTGTATGACTAACCATCCTGTGTGATGGGGATTTTTTAGCATCACCTAGTTAGCTTTTTTGACACACTGTACTCCACTTAATGTAGTCTAGGGTAGCTGCACTAATGCAGATGTACCTCATGTATTAATAAAAAAAAAAAAGTTCGGCTGTTAACACACGCACTATAACCACAACTCTGTCCCACCCTTCTAACAACGTTGTATCAAAGTAACAACAGGTGAGAAAAAACATGTGCAGAGAGAGGGAATGGGTGGGAGAGAGAGGACGCGTGTGTAGGGTCATGCTGAGAACGCGTGTGTAGGGTCATGCTGAGAACGCGTGTGTAGGGTCATGCTGAGAACGCGTGTGTAGGGTCATGCTGAGAACGCGTGTGTAGGGTCATGCTGAGAACGCGTGTGTAGGGTCATGCTGAGAACGCGTGTGTAGGGTCATGCTGAGAACGCGTGTGTAGGGTCGTGCTGAGAACGCGTGAACAATATTGTCCCTCGTCACCGGTCTGTCCTGCTATTTACACTATAAATATTCTCCAGGAAACAACTTTCCGCCTGAAAAGTACATAAACTTGTAATCACCCGTGCATAAATGTCTATCACACAGTATGTCTATCTTACCCGACAGAGACAATACCTTTTATAGCACTGAATAACTGTTGATCAAACAGTAATGTTATCTTGCACCGTGAAACTCGTACACGTAATCTTATAAGATAACGTAACTGTTAAACATACCTTTCACGGTCACCCAGACTCACACTGCCTTGATGACCGAGGTAAACATTGCCTCGGTCTAGTGGAGCCAGCGACTCACATTGGTGGGCTCACCTCCTGCCAACTGTCCTCACCAGCAGTCAAAGGGCCAAAACTAACAATCGAAGTACCCTCAGCCTTGTTTCAGTGTCTGCAAAGAGTTTTGAAAAATAATAACATGGTGTGACGAAATTTCACTCAATATATCTATATGTTAGCGTTCCGTAACACCTGGGCAGGCAGGTGGTGGAGGTGGGTCAGGTGACCTGGACACACAGGTGGTGGAGGCTGGTCAGGTGACCTGGACACACACAGGTGGTGGAGGCTGGTCAGGTGACCTGGA